CAGAGCCCAGTTTCAGAGCAAGGCAAAAAAACCAAACACACAAAAATATCTACGTAGGAGAAACTTTACATCAACACTCAGGTTCCTGACATGAAACCTGCTCCTGGGGCTGGCTGACAAAGCAGACAGGAGTGGAGGGCAGTTTATGTGCTGGTGGATGGGTTGCCTGGTGCTCAGACCCCAGCCCAGGCAGGATGCACCGGCTGCTGTCCCTGTGGCAGCAAAGCAGAAGCACCTACAGGTTCCCATGGCCGGGGGTTCCTGGTGTCTCCGGCAGGTCTCTGTAGGAAATGTAGACCCTAGAAACACCAAGTCCCTGACGCAGTATGCTAGGAATCCAGGCAGGGCTTTTCTGGAAAAGCTGTAGGAGTTGGGATGTTTTCCAATCGAGCACATGAGGCTCAACAAAGGAGTGTTTTTCCCTTTCTGCTCAGTGGTGCAGATGCCATAGCGTGCAGGACTTCTGCGGGAGCTGAAGACGGGGTCAAAAGCAATGTGCCACACAAGAGCAAGCTCCTTGTCACAGGCTGGGCTTCTAGAAGAAGGGAAGTGGCAACCAGGCAAATTAAGGAGCCAAGGGGATTGGAGGAATGAAGGACCAAATAAATGGGGATAATGAGGAAATCCTGGCAATGGTGTCGGTGTTGCAATCAAAGGGCCAGTTTGGAAAGTCCAGGTCAGTGTCCCAGTTGGATGCAAAGGCTTGGCTGAAACACGTGGTTGGTGTGAGTCTGTGGTTGGTGGGGTAAACTGCAGCACTGTCTGAGAAATGAGTGCACCTGGAGCAGGTCTGGGATGAGCAATCCCATCTCTGCCCTGTGTGACACCAACCGTCTCCTCTACCAGTTGGTGGGTGCTCAGGTGGTGGGCAAACGATGGTGTGGGGGAGAAATCCTGGCAGTGTACTCACGCACGTGGGTGCTGCTTGCCGGCAGGACTGTTTGGCCACACGAGAGGTCTGACATTGCAAGATTTGGCTGCAGCCCTGCCCCTGTGCAAAGAGCTGACTCTGCACAATGTCTCTTCAGATAGACAGACACAGGCGTAAGACCCTGGAAGAAGATGCTGCTACTCTGGGCACTGTTTAGATGTCTTTTGTGAAAACACTGAGATAATTTTACATGACTGTCAGTTCACTGGCTGCTCCGGAGTTATTCCCTATGTCTCCATGCTCAGGACAAAGGCTCGAGCTCTTTCAGCCTGGTTACTCATCTGAATTGTAAATCTGCTGCATTTGAGCATCTTCAGGAAGCTACTGGCATTTCTGGGGTTTGCTTTTAAGCAGAAGTGTTGCATTAACTTCTTTCCCTCAGTAATGCCATTGTTTCTGCTTCTGCTTTATATTAAAAAGATTCTGAGCTTGTAGGAATATTTCACAAACATTTCTTTATCACCAGCTGTCACCAGCTTTATTGGTTATTTCTGGCATCTCCATTGTTAGAGAGCTTTCAGTGTTTTAATACACTATGTATGTGCTCAGAGCAGTACAGAAAACAAAGGCAGATTTATTGTAAGAAGCTCATGTGTAAATCAGAAGCTGAATCTGATAAAGGCATTAGCACAGAAGTTTCTTAAACTTATCGAGTTGGAGAAGCCAAGAAATCCAACAGGCTGATGCTATTCCAAAAACATCTTGAGCTCTCTTACTTCTTTGATATATCTAAGTAATATAAACGAGCATGTAATTCCCCCTGACAGTGAAGCTCCCTGCATAGTGTACACAGCTCTGGCACCATGTGAATAATAAATATAGTGTGGAAGAAGATGCCAAGAAGCAGTCAAAGTTGCCATTGTCTGTACAGACCAATGCCGTCATTTCATTGCAAGATGGCTTTAGCATCAGGAATGTCAATCACATACAAGGACTGAAATCCAGTGGGAAACTCTCCCCCAATGTTCAACCCATGTTACTCCTTTTCTACAAATTCTACAGCAGGGATGGCCAAAGCGATGTAGAAAACATGGTCAAGAGGAATTGTGTGCTTGTGCAAGAAAGGCAGGAGAAAAGGGTTGGAAAGCTCCTTCCCAAGCAGGGAAGGGAAAGTTGCCCTATCTGGGCAAGAGTCATCTCCTGGGACATCAGCCCTCCAAGTTCCTGTCCCCATCCCTGGACAGTAAAAGAGGAGATGCTGCCCCTTGTCACCCCTGGACTGGAATTAGGATCATGAACCACATAGAGATTGTTTACCCCCAAAATTCACCCCTGGCTTTCCAGGCAGCCTGCTGGCAACCCACAAGCCCTATCCAAATGAAAGGTTGGCTGTGAAGTTTGTCAAAGTAAAAGCATAGCAAACAAACCAGCTAGCTTCTGGCTGTGACCTCTGTGGTGGTCTCCCACACAGATCTGTCCCCTGCAGTGCCCTCTTTGCCAGCTGCTGAGAAGTCCTACTGTCCTTTTTCTAGGTGGGATTGCTTTCCTTCCCCATTCTGCCCAGCAAACTTCAGAGTGGAACTTGCAAAAGTCTTTGGAGAGGGAGCAAGCATGAAAACATGGGAAAAAATTAATCTCAATAGAAATCCTTGACTAATTGACAGGTTGGAATAAGAATGACCATAGACCCCAAACTATGCCAGGCAACCAGCCTGCTCCAGGCACTGCAAGCTTGCTCAGCCAGCCACATGCCTGGCTGTTTTGCTCTGCCAGCTTTACAAGGCCTAATTAGCTCTATTCCTTTTGTTTGTAATTACAAAAGCAAACAAGCCTTGGAGAGAGAGGGGAACAGAGGCAGCAGCTCCTTGACAGAACTTAAGAAAATGTTGTAAATAAATTCTGCCTCTCATCAGATCTACTTGAAAATATGAAAGGGATGAACACAAGAGCCCTGGTGAACAGAAAAAGGTTTCCAGGCCAGGCAGAAGCAAGGGGGAATAGAGCCTTGCTACCCTGGGGAGGCATCAGTGGAGGTTAGAAGAGACCATCCCCAGCTGGAACTATTCTCTACCTGCCCTGCAAAAATGTACAGCTGACCGGTTGTGCTCATTGTCCCAGCTGGGAGAGCACAGTACCCTCCCAGAGAGGCTTCAGAGTGGGATGGATCCTTCCAGCACCTCCTTCATGATCCCATTAACCCAGAAGCATCAACAAATTGCACAAAAGTGTTTTAACAAGTCATAGATCAGCAGGTCAACTCCTGCTCAGGAGGCAGAACATCTTGTACAGATATCTGCAGTAGGGTATGTGCAGGCTGGGGCTAAAGCTACTGAGAGCAAAGCATTGCAGAAACACAGAGCATCTCTCCTGGGAGCGCCTGGGCTCCACACCCCATCCCTTCCCCATTCCTGCAGCTCCCACCCCCCTGCGAGGGAGCAGCCCGCCTGTCCCCTGCCCCTTCCTGTTCCACCCAGGGTGCAGCTGCCTGGCCGGGGAGCAGACCTGCTGGTTCCTGGGCTGCCGGCGTAGCAGATTGCTGGGTGAGTTTCTGCCAGAGGCCACAACTGCCTGACTCACTGCAGAAGATCTGTCCCCACCTACATGTGCTGTAGATACACAGCTAAATAAACTCCATACAGGCAGGCAGGATCCCAAAAAGCTCAAGCCCCCCCCTCTTCTGTGCACACTGTCCAAGTTCTGCAAGAAATGAAGTAAGGCAGTCCAATTTTCCTTAAAAAAGTCCATTTATTGAAATTGTTTAAACACTTTTTTTTACAAGTTCCCAGTACAAGCATGTGCTCCCTGGCTCAGGGTTAATGCAAATACAAAAGCACAGACTTCAGCGGCTCTTTGATGTGTCCCGAGCTGCCACCTCCCAAGATGAGGTCCCAGGAGGCTGTGCCCAGGCAATTCCCCATGGAGACGTGGAAGCCACATGACCCAGCTCCAGGTACAGGCCAGCATGAACTCAAGCCTGAAGCAAATGCTCTGGTTCGGTTCTTTTTAAGTAACTTTGATTTCTGTTGCAGGGAGTCAGGTCAAAGAGAGGTACAAGGCTTATACAAGCCACCACTGCCATGGCTGTACATCGCTCAGCCCCAGAGGCTCTCCCTGCCTGCAGAAGGAAATCAAGATGCTTCTGAACCAACCAATGCTTCTGAACACATCCACAATTATAAACCTGCTCAGAAACAACCAGTTTCCTTCTGCAGAAAAAGCAAGGTTGAGCTTTGGAGAACTGGTACAATTCTTCCAGGAATTACGAGACTTTGGACAGCCTGAGACAGTGTTAGTCAAACATCAAGTGACTGACTGGGTGTGTCAGAGGAAGGGTTGGGAACCTTTGATGAGCTGCATTTTTTAATTTTTTAATATGACTTAATATCATGCAAGGATGGCTTTATCTTTAAAATGCTAGTTTCTTCCTCTTTGGTGAGCTTGGATTAAAAGAAATGCCGTAACTTTTGGGTCAGTTTCCTTGGACTTTTGCCTTCATATCATAACTGAAAGTGTTTACAGGAAAAAAAAAACCATGATCAAATGCCAGGATGCAGGGGATCCTAGGGGAAACATCAGGGAGCAGCAGTGCATTCAATTTGGTCTAACACATTTATCTGCATAGGGCAAGATGAGATTGGTAACTAAGCCCAAATGAGAAAGACTCAAGGAAACAGGAGAGTTTGTTAAAAAGTGGCCTGTGACACACACAAGGGGATAAAGCATCAAGCTCAGTTAGGTATGAGGGTGGGAACATGGGGAAACAATCCCTGGCAGCACCCTGTGTCTAAGATCAGCAGCAACAGCCCCACCAGAGACACCCAGTGAGAACAGAAGGCAATCATTTTTCTTCAGCTCTTCCCCAGCACCAGGGAAACCTGCAGCTGCTTTGGGAGCCTGTGAACCTCTGTAGTCACAATTTTGCAGCCTTTGGCTCAGACACAATCAACCTACAGTGAACGATGACATCCAGTTAAGCCAAGCCACCTTCCACAGCATCTTCTGTTGGCCAGCAGCATGTGCATGGACACTTCCAGATTTCAGTTTGTTAAATCACAGCAACTTAATTTGTGTCTGACCCTTTGCCATGCAAATCTGCACAGAAAGGAGGGTGCTAAAGATGCCAATGAGACAGTACAGGAGCATTTTAGATCTCTTCAAACATTCCTACATGTAAAGTCTTTTCCCTAAAGTTATGTTTCCCCTTAAGCTATTGGTTTTATCACTTTTATATGTTCCTTTAATTTCTACACACACCACACTGGGCTCTAACTTAATGGGATATGGGACTGAATTGTTACCACCTATTTCTTTTTTTTAAAAAAAAACAACTAAAAAAAGCACCAACATCCATCTAAAAAAACAGTATCAATTTCCCTTTTACTCCCAAACACTACACTTAACCCAAGCTTGGAGGTTTCATCTTTCCAGTGGCAATACCTATGAACCTAGGCTAGCCTTCCTCCGTGGGCTGGGAGAGAAAGGAGAAGTTATGTCCAGTAGCAAAGAGGATTACAAAAATATACACATTTTTTTAGCAGAAGAGGAAGGCAGAACCTAGAGTCTGAACTCTGCTCAGGACAGTGGCATTGTAGTGTCCTCTCCAAAACATTTTCACTACCAGTGCTGGCGGCTCCTCTTCTTTGTTTCATTATACATAATCCTTCCCTGTGGAGGGGGCATTTTTTGGATAGCCTCGGCTGGCTGGATATGAAGTTTCTCTGTGTGGACAGGAGCAGCAGAGGAAGGCTCCCCCCAGAATGGCCAGAGAAGCAGCTGCCCAGCCGATGAAGAGAGCTGATCCGAACTCAAACCTGGGGGAGAAAGAGGGGAAAAAAGTGAATGCTACAGGTAATGCCTCTGGATTACAGCATTTGCATGTCTACACAAAGCAGAAGGAAGCTAGAATTGGCTTCCTGCAAGGCAGCAGGTTGGAACAGCCCAAGACTCTGCTGACCCTCAAAGCTCAGAGCCTTGCACCCCAGGTCAGCCTGGCCTGAACGCTCACCCTGCACGGCTGCAGGAGGGCCAAGCTCTCTGCAAACCAGAACAAAAAAAAGCAAACCAAACCAGTGGCGCAAAAACCCAGAAGTCACACCAGTTAAGTCTCAGCAGTAATGCCACCTTAAAACAAAGCCAAGATTTGAGAGCCACGTGGATAATGAGATATGGTTCTAATGCTCTTTCTGCACAGTTTGAAGCCAACGTAGCTAGTTTAGGAAATTCCCTTCTTTGTTTTGAGCCACTGCTCTTTAAAACTAAGCCCTGGGAGCATTTGTCATGCTATCCTGCAGTGGTGTATCAAATGGGTCAGTACCTGGTGTTGACAGGGGTGTAAGGGTCATAAAAGGCCCGAGCCACTCTGTTGCCATACCACGACGTGGCGACCAGCGCTGCCATACCTGCATGAGAGAGGAACACCATGTCATGGCTTCAGAAAAAACAACAAACAACAAAACCACGGCAAAAGCAAGTGTGTAGCAGAACCAGCATCTGGAGTGATGATGCTGAGCTGCTGCTACCCTGGAAGTTCAGAGATGTCACTTAGTAGGTAGTCGCTGATGTTACTTCATAGGTGCTTGCTGGTAGGGAGAGAAATTGAGAAAGGATTTGAGGTCACCCATGGTTGTGTTGCACCAAAAGCAGGACTGCTGGCAGCCTGACACTGAAGCAGGGTGTACAGGGCAAACTCAGCTCTGCTCATAGAGAGGGAAGGCATTCAGTCCATGTAGAAAGTATAACGCTAGGGCCAAGAGACCCATTTCATCCCTCAGAGAGCCACCAGCAGCTACCGTGCCCACATCCTTGAGGGAATTCCCAGCCCAAAATGCCCTTGGAGCAACGACAGCAAGCCCTCCCCATCCTCTGCAGGATAAATGCCATTTATGTTTAACACTAACCACATCTGGATGTTACCAACCTGACACGATGAAGATCACCCCACCGAAGATAGCCATCCGCATCTTCTTCACCTGGTCATCCTCCATGCACTTCATGCATTTCATGCCGATCACAGCAACAAAGAGACCGATGAGGCCCACGATTATCGCGGCCACCATCAAAGCCCGAGTGGCCTGCAGGCTGCCTAGAAGACACAAGGGTTCGAGTTACCACAAAGAAAACTCAAGATACAAATAGAAATTCAAATTACTGGGCTCAGCCATCATGTGTCAAAATACTCTGCTCCTTGTTAGGCAGGATACAACCAAGCAAGATGTTCTGGTGTAGTTTTAAGCTCCCAGAGACTCTCATGCATCAGGATCAGAAGACTGAGCCTCTCCTAAAATGCATGGCCAACAGGGGCATGGGGCTTTCTGCAGGAAATGACCTGGGAATTGCCCTCAGACATCTTTTGTTCCTTGGTCATTTGAATCCCAATTGGAAGGACATATCTGTTTATCAAAAGAAGTATTCAGATTTAGGCTCTACCTTGACAAAGCACTTAGGCACCGGTTTTAATGTGAATAGTGCCATACATATGAATAGTCCCACAGCAGACAGCAAGGCCCCTTTATTTTATTGCTCAACACTTCCAAAACCTGTCTTTTACACAAATACCTCAGTGCTGATTTAGTTATTTCTTGTGCTAAATCCTCAGCTTGAATCCCAGAGTACAAAAATACAATTGCAACAGAAACAGGATTTTCCCAGCCAAGTAAAAAGTAGTTCTTTTTTTTCCTGCCTAAAATATTTTTGTTTTTTTAAGACTCAAAAGATATAACATGTTTCAAGAGCCTCTTGTGCTTCTGAGGAATGGGAACATGGGGTGATGCTTCCCATAGGTGAGTGTTGTATTTGTCTGGGTTCTCAGCCGGCAGACTACTTTATGCAAGATTTGGGTTTATATTGACTCATCAGAAGGCATAGACACACTAACCCTATGTACATGAGCCACTGTATTCAGATTTTCTCGATACCAAAGGAGAAAGAAAATAACTATATAAATTAAGTCATTACTGGAAAAAAAGTCAGGTGACAGAACACCTGAATAGCAGTGAAATAAGAGCCTGAGCTTTATTGCCTGGTAAATCAGGTTTGTTTGAAGAGCATAGATTTTAATACACGGTCTTGTTAAGGTCTGGGAACAAACAGGGCTGGTTAATCAAAGGAACAAACTCCCAGGAGCATAATGCTGTAACCAAGGCAAACACATCCCCTGACACAGACAGTTAGCTAGCAGTGGCACACATACAGTTTTAGCAAAGTATCACCAGAATCTGCTCAAATCTGGAGCTCAGCCCTCAGAAGGCACAGGCTGCATTCTGCCACAGCTCTGCAAAGCACTTCAAGCCTGAACAGCTGCGAGATGGAAGATTACAGCAGAGCACCTGCAAACTCATCACGCAGCATCCCTGCTGCAAACCCTGCTACAACGGGCTCTTTGGCTCAGCCTGAAACAGACAGGAGGGGAGCACAGCTCCATCTATCTCTCTCCTCTGCAGCTTCTTTACGGCCCTGTCCCACAGCCCTGATTGTGCAGGAAAATCCTTGTGACCCACACCAACAACAGGCCACCAGGCTCTAGTTCTGCTTTCAAAACAGATCTGGGTCTACCTCTACACACACCTTATTGTTCTGTAAATAGATTATGAAACCAGTTAAAAACAATACAATAAGGCAGCAATCTTTAGAGCAATAGGAAGAGATACTTTCGTAAGAAGAGTCTTGGCTTTCTTGGGAAAAATCCCACTATCAGCTTGGCTAAGTGTCATCTCTCACTTCCTTCAACAGGGAGGGGTGACACACCTTCACACCACCCAGGTGGTAATCAAACCCTATCTGCTGCACTGATTGCAGAAACCCATTTACAAACCATTTATCACCTTAGCGTAAATCACAACAGCAGCATCCAAGCACATCTTGAACAGATTGATCGCCAATGGCAGAGATCACCCTCTAAAAATTTCTAGCTTACAAAAGTCACACCAATTTTCAGAAAGACTTCAGCTGACTGGTTACCACCCAGACAACCAATTCAGCTGCCATACATTGAAGGCTATAACTTGTGTATTATTTGAAAACCTCATGGCTGAACACCAGTTCACACTTCACATGGGAAAGGACATTTTCTGCAGAGGTACCAAGCCTGTTTCATCAAGTCTACCATAACCTGGGCTTAGGTCTTGCTGCAGAAGATATTACTTTATAGGAGAGGTTTTTCAAAGAGTTCTTTCATGAAGCTGAAAATAGGAAACGTTATCTCAGACAACTAGAAAACTACTTATGACCTCAGGAGACCTAGCTATGAAACCTGCTCAAGATGTACACATATTAACTGGAAGCATGCCATGAGAGCCTTGCAAAGGCAGCTGAACAAGCAGCAGCATTGTGAGCACTTCCCAGGACCCTGCTTCCAGCAGCAGCCCCTGGATGGACACATCCTGGTGCCCTCACCCCTGCCCATGGCTCCATGGCAAAAGAGGACAGAAGCATTTTGAAAACTTGGAGTAGGACAGAGAAACAGGTTGGAGCATTTGCATAAGGGTGTCCCTTTATCCATGACTGTGTTAGCCAAGCATCCTCCCCTCCTCTGTGCTCACAGCACATGCTGGGAGCCAGGACTTTTGTCTTCCTACAACTTCTGCAATACATGCAGTGCACTGGCTGTGGGTAATAACTACTGGTTTGTACGATGATTATGTACCCATGTTGTCAATGGAAGCTGCACATCCAGAGGCTGAGAAAGCTGGTGTAATATTAGTTCTGTTCTTCACATGGGCCTTTCCAGGTGCTTTAAAAATACCAACTGATATAACATTGTCTTAACCTGCTAAACAGGACTGGCAACTGACAAGAAGTGGAAGTACTCCACAGCAATTTAACTTCACCACTTCTGTCATATTAGAGAGAAACAGGATTTTCCCCACACTCCTTGCTGCTACTGTCTCACCATCAGGAACAGGTAGCACCATGCTCACAGCCTCCCACACAATACACCACAGCTGCCTGAAAGCCCAGGAGCCCTTGGGGAAAAAAAACAAAACCAAGAGTCCAGGACAAGGCTAGACAAACCAGCCTGGCACCCAACAGCAGATGTCAGATGGCAGCAGTATTTTGTCAATAGAAACCACTATTGACTGGGAAGCCAAGCCTTTTTATTGCTGGTTAGTAATGGGAAACCTGGCGTGAAAAGCTTATAGCAAGAAAGCAGCAAGTACTGAGGTTTAAAACTACTGAGGATGATTAATAACAAACATGAATTCTGCAAGCCATAAAATACTATGTGAGTCCACTAAAATGACAGAGCAGCTCACAGCTGTTTCACATAATGAAATCCACTTCTTTAAAAACCTCCTAAGAAACAGTTCAGACTTATTGCTAGTGGGTTTGGACACAAACTACATGATGCAGTTTATCTGAAGCCTACATACCACTTTTTCCTTCCCACAACTACTAGTACCTGACACAGGAGTAATTGCTGGCAACTGCTTAGTTATAAAAAAAAATAAAGACTTCACCAGCATGTTTGAGGTTATTTCTCTGTCATCACATTTCCTTATTTACTCTGTTTATGTCATCTACATTATAGAAAAGCTGTTGGGAAAGTGCCGGGGGATTTTTGTAATGCCTGTTTGTAACACAAAATTGCTGTAATGGCTCTGTGTGCAGATTTTCTGATAGGGATGCTCATTGACTGCCTTGTGTTTAAGCTATGGACTTTTCCTTCTCTTCCCATGGGCCTCCATGCAACCAAGTGATGACAGAATACAGGTGCAACAGATGCTGTGCAGCTCCCTCTAATCTCTGCAAGGGAAGCTCCCCCAGGAGTTACAAGCACCCCTATAGTATAGGAAGCATGTTACACCATCCACCTCCAAGAGAAGTCCACATTCAAAGCCTTCCCACAAGGGTTTCAGGAAAGCTCAATCTCCTAGAAGGACCAGGATCCGAGATCCCGCTGTTACTTCTGTGCAGCATGGCAAGGGAATGCAGATCTGAGCAAGCGAACAGCTTTGGAGGTGGCCAGCAAGCATCTCTCACACTTTGCAGTCATTCTGGCTGGACCCAAAAGCCTGCTAATGGCTTGGAGGCTTTCAACCCCCTTCCCAGCCCCTGCAAAGACCCTGCACACCAACAGATATTCTAGTCTAGACTTCTTCCAAGCACCTCCCCACAAGTCCACAAGACGGTATGGAGGAATCTGGGTAGGACACAGGCTCAGACCAGGTCATGTTTCTTGGCAAAATAGGAAGGCTGGGAAGTCCTCACTGCAGGTCCAGTGCAAAAGAGAAGTTCAGTGGCCTTGTACTCTGCCTACCCCAAAGCAAACAAGGTTCCATGCCCTGCTGCAGTCGCTCAAACAGCAGAGAGCTTGCTGGTAAGACAAGCAACATGTGGCACCACCGTTCCCAGATTCCTGGTCAGAGCAGACCTGGGCACCCTGTTTTCCCACGAGGACTGGAAATTCCCTTCCCAAGAGATTTAGTAACACATAGTAACACCAGCTACTAAAGCTGCTTAGCAGCTGCTTGCAGAGCAATAAAGCCAGTGTATTGCAACAGCCTCCCGTCCCCTCCTGCAGACACCAGACAGCACAGGAACAGCCTCGGTGGCATTCCAAGTAACCCTCTACCTTCTCAAAGCACAGCACAAGGGAGACTGTTTTATCACTCCATCATGATTTTTCATGAGGAAGGAACAGGGATTGAGAAACATGAGCAAATTAACCCTTTAACCCACATGAAAGCACAGATACTAGCAGGTTCTACCTGCTTACTCCAGATCTGAAGATGGAGATGTGATAAACTATTTGGACACATTTGTCCCTCGTGCTGTAGCTTTGTCTCTCCTCGGGCCACCCTCTGGAACTCCCCCACCATCACAACAGAGCAGCAGTAACCTGAGCATGAACCCTTCCTCCTCGCACCCATTCTTCTCTCTCCCAGCTCCTGGAACAGGCTCAGCCAGGGTGGTAAAGATGTAGGAGGGAAGATTTCACATTTCAGTGATGCTGTTTGACCCAGAGGGCATCCAAACCCTTGTTTATTTTCTGGGCTAGGGCACAAAGGCTCATTGTGGATGTACTAGGCTTGGTGATGAAGTGGTAGATGAGTCTCAGCTTGTCTCAAGCATGGAACCTCTCCC